ATCGTGGAACTTGTAGTCAACCTCTCCGAGAAATTTCGTCTCTGGATTGTGATAGAGCTATATGTGGCAACTTGTAAGTCAACCTCTCCTGGAGAATTTCGTCATCTGGACGATGTATGACTTATGTGGACTTTGTAGTGCGTCTTATTTCGCACGAAGTAGAATGTGATCACTGGATTTGATCGGGAAAGAACCTGCACAGTATGAGGAAAAAGAAACGAAAAAAGAGAGGAGAGACGGAAAGAAAAAGAGCAATGTAAGACAGGAGTGGAAGAAAGAAATCATAGAAGAACAACTCGTACAAGAAAGTCCGTAGACGATGAAAGTGGAACCCTACTTTTTCACTATGATAACTTTACATAAAAGTACATTGAAGCTATGATCGATCATAGGTCACACGGTTATATGTAGGAACCATAGTATACATATAAGATACCTGAGTACGAATAAAATAATGCACTATTAATGTTTCTATCATCATTATGTTGTGATGTACGTTTTTGAAATTTTGGAAACGTTGATATAGGTTGACGCGTGTCCATAGGGAATCCTAATAGGATGCACAACCAATGTCACTTGTAGAGAGTCTCGTTCATTATTGATGGACAAATTATGTTACAGATTATGTGGGGACAAAATATCTGTACAGACGAATACTTAACTTCTTGTTACCACAGTACACACAAAAACGTGGAAATTCAAAAATACAAATGAATAAATTATACAATAAAATAAAGTAGAATCAAATAAAGATAAGTACAAAAATAACATAAAATATCTTTATTTATATTTTCTAATGCGTTGATAGTCAATTTTGGATGTTTAGAGGAGACCTTATGTATGTTGTAGGCCGCGTACGCGTCACTGTACACATGTAAAAGTCTCTGCGGGTTTCTCGTTTGTACTGTGGCCGTGTCCCTTTGGGGCTGTGGCTGTCGTGCGGGAGTTTTTTACCTACTCGTCCAGAGATTACTAAACACAAGTCCAGATAAAATTTAAAACTTCTGTGTTGCAATATCGGTCGGTGCCAATGAGATGGCGGACTTTGTTCTGACTTCACAAAGTCTCCTGCCTAGGGTAGCGCGGCGCGACCAGTGAAGGTGGCGACAGCTGGACCCTCCTTTGTCGGAGACCTTTATTCTTCAATGACGTCTGACCAGTTATATAAGGAGAAGGGCTGTACGAACTGAGACAAATAAGGAGGCCTCGGACGAGCTGTCTTTCCTTGTATGCGCAAAAAGAATAACTGTCATAAAGAAGTGTCATCAGGCAGGCGACGACGGATCAGGGCAGACGATCCGAGTAATGCTATTGTATGCATCTTTCGCCGGAGTGCATTTGTGTGTGCGTGTAAATTTCGTCTTTTTGTGCTTCGAGGTCTGTCTAAGTGAGTGAAAGTCTAGAATAAAGTCTACAATAGATGATTTCTTATGAGAGGTCAGCAAAAGATTACGAGGGTTCCGACACCTGAATTATCAGTATGTAGTGTCTCTACTTTAAAGAGTCCTCTCCTGCTGATGTTCAGGTGTATATCAGTATGTAGTGTCTCTACTTTAAAGAGTCCTCTCCTGCTGATGTTCAGGTGTATATCAGTATGTAGTGTCTCTACTTTAAAGAGTCCTCTCCTGCTGATGTTCAGGTGTATATCAGTATGTAGTGTCTCTACTTTAAAGAGTCCTCTCCTGCTGATGTTCAGGTGTATATCAGTATGTAGTGTCTCTACTTTAAAGTACCTCTCCTGCTGATGTTCAGGTCGTATATCAGTATGTAAGTGCCTCTCCTTTAAAGAGTCCTCTCCTGCTGATGGTTCAGGTGTATATCAGTATGTAGTGTCTCTACTTTAAAGAGTCCTCTCCTGCTGATGTTCAGGTGTATATCAGTATGTAGTGTCTCTACTTTAAAGAGTCCTCTCCTGCTGATGTTCAGGTGTATATCAGTATGTAGTGTCTCTACTTTAAAGAGTCCTCTCCTGCTGATGTTCAGGTGTATGTCAGTATGTAGTGTCTCTACTTTAAAGAGTCCTCTCCATGTCTCCATGCTTTAATGTTAAAAAAACACTTTATTTTTGCTGCAGCACTTCTTTTCACCCTCTGTCTGAAACCAGAGCCCAGGCTGCTCTGATTGGTTAGCTGTTCGGCTCTGTTGTGATTGGTCCACTGTTTGGGGATGTGTGTGCAAAGGGTAACAAAGGACTTTACATTGAAGTAAATGGGATTTATTGTTTTACGTGTGGTGTTGAATTGATTATCAAGAATCGTGGTATTGACTAGTATTGTTCAACAGCATTTCTGGTATTGTGTGTGTGCATACTGTATTTATACACAATTATCTATATTTGTATCACCTTGTTTAATCGCTTCAATCTTAGTGTATTGATATTCCTTTATGTTCTATTGAACTATGACCTTACCGTTCTTACTTTGGTTTTATTCATCTGTTTTTGTTGTCTTGTGAAGCACTTTGTAACACCTGTTTTTGAAAGTTGCTTCCTAAATGTTTTATACTAGTGTAAAAAATCCTGCCTATCATCATATCTGTCTTTCAGTCCACTTATCATACCCTCTCACTTGTGCCACCTAGTCCACTTTACAGGACATAAACTGACTGTTTTACAATGCAACGAAAGTATTCAACTCACAGGTTGTTGGAGGTGAACAGAACTCACATCTCAATCTCTGGAAAATAAAGTATATCCCTGAAGTATATCCTAATGTAAGCCAGACTTCATCCAAACAGCAAATCTGAAAGTCAATTTAAAGTCATTTCCGTCACTTTCTACTAACATGATAAACCCATATGGAGTTTTTAGCCTGCCAAATAAATGCTAAGAACAATTTCACATTCTTTGACAAAGAGACAAGCTCTGCAGACGACGGGCAATTAGGCAATTTCACTGCCGCCATGCTTTCATATAGCATTTGATCTACCTGCCTGTGTGTCACTTCAGCTGTCACACACTTGCTGCTAATTCCTCTCTTGTTAGACCTTCACTTACTTCCTGTGTTCTCCCTCGTCCCATCTGTGTCTCCCTCATCAGACGTTACACAGACTCTCCGACAATTTTAAATGTGATAACTAACTTCTCCCTGTGTGTGTCTCTCTCTCAGATGTATATCCAAACCACCACCCTGACCATCTCTCTCAGCCTGTCTGCCTCAGTGTCTCTGGGGATGCTCTACATGCCCAAAGTCTACATCATCCTCTTCCACCCCGAGCAGAACGTACCCAAACGGAAACGCAGCTTTAAGGTGAGCGGAAATACTCTTCTTATTTTGACAGATGTTATACTGTATAAGTCAAATGTGGAATAAAACAAAAGGAGGCCAAGCCAGACTGGACAACATGCTGCTGGAAAACAAGTAAAAAAACAATTTGAGCTTGTAATGAGTGACATATTTTTTATGTCAATAGAAAAAGTGAAAATGTGCTTGGTAAGATTTGTTGACACAAGATGGGATGTTTAGATTAATCAGATTTTGTAATTACGCGGGAAAACTTATTTTGAACAATTTATTTACCAGAATCAGGAAATGTTGTGTTATAAAATAAGCAACAAATGCTCAAAAGTGTTCTGTTTTGTGATGTTAGTCAAAATCTGAGATCAAAATAAGATATTCTCAAGATACTTAAGATGCATTGTCTAAAACCAGGGCCCTATATCTCACTGAATTGTTACTTCTTAAGTTATTAGGGCTTATATCAGGTGTAAAGACATATTCTGACTAGATATTAGACAAATATATATGGCAAGATTTTAAGTTGTTGTGGTAGTCTGAACTTCCTGTTAGGGTGGATTTAAAAAAAAGTACATTTTCAAATATATTTCAAAAAGTCAATCATTTTCGTAACATAATGTAAAAGAACTGGGTCAAAAAAAGAGGAAACTTGTGATGCAGCAATCAAACACAGAGTCAATGTCAGAAAGTGTTAAACAGTATTCACCTAAACTCAAAAATCATTGAAGAAAAACTCAATTTAGCCGGGTCGCTAACCGATTTACGGCTAGATATTAATTAGTCAAATAAAATAGGCAAGATTTCGAGTTTTTGTGGTAGTCTTCACTTCCTGTTAATGGATGTCTGAACGATGCAGGCCATTGTGACAGCTGCCACCATGACGGGGAAGCTGGGCCAGAAGGGAGGAGACCGGCCCAACGGAGAGGTGAAGACGGAGCTGTGTGAGAGCATGGAGACCAACAGTGAGTAAGAGAACACGGACTTTTTTTTACCTACACATATAAAATATTTCATAAAGATATCTCATCAGACCCGCTGAAATCCCCCGGAAAAAACTGGAACGTTGATTTTAATTAACGGTATTAAGTCAACACATTTTACATAATTGTACTAGGTTAGTTAAAAGCAATAATATTAAGTTGAACCTAATATTTAAACTTCATATTATTGCATTGAACCCACCTAATACAAAAATGTGTCATTTGTTGACATAATACATTTTATTAGAGTCAGTGTTTTCAGTAGTTACAGTTTCAATACATTTGAAGGGACTAAAGATAACGATACAAATAAAGCATACATGTACTCAAACAGACATATTCAGTGGTAGAAAGTAACATTTACTCAAGTACTGTATTTAAGTACAATATGTAAGTACTACTTGAGTATTTGTGCTTGTACGTACATATACATGCTGTGCAATAACAGTGCTTTTGTGCAACTCACACTTATTACTTTTTACAATGTATTTACAAATTGTTAACAAAACCGTCTCCTTCAATACTTTTATATAATCACTTGCGTTTTAAAATACTGCTACTTATTCTTTTGTTTTTGCTTATTCAATTATATATGTTTGGGAACCTGTGCTTGCTTTTTTATTTGTCATTATAAGTCTACTCTTTTCTGTAATGCGTAGATTTACCTGCTGCGATACAAATATATAAATAAATACATGTTTCCATTCAATGCTACTTTATACAACTAGTAGATTTTTGGGAGTAATTGGGAAAAGGAAATAATGTTTTTTTACTCTGTAACATTTGTTTGACCTCATTACTTTCCAGAACAAGGTACAAAAAAGTAAAATGGGCAAATATATTTGAAAAATGCAACCATTTTTGTAACATAATGTAAAAGAACTGAGCCAAAAAAGAGGAAACTGGTGGTGCAGCAATGAAACACAAAGTCAATATCAGAAAGTGTTTTACAGGATTCACCCAAAGTCAAAAATCAGTGAAGGAAAACCAAAGTCTAATTCCGATCAGAAACACTCTACTTCAGAAACGAGTCTCCTGCTTTCTGCCTGTGCCATGTTCATTTTGCCAATAATACTTTAATCAGATTTTGAATGCAGTATTTTTACTTTACTTTGAGTATTTTAACATGAATCTATTGTGACTTTCACTCGAATAAAGCATCTTATCCCACTACCATACATAAACAAGCACATCCCCCTGCTTGTGTGCTATGCTCAGATGTACAGCCTGCATGAAGTTTGAGTTTGACTAAAAAAAATTATTTCACGCCTTCATTTTCTGCATAACAAAACAGCTGCAACAGCGACAGATTTCAAATAACAGTGTGTCTTCCCCGGGTTTTGACAGTGAAGCATTCACTCTGTGTTGGGCTGCTTCTCCCGTGTCAGCAATCTGCAGATGAAATGACGGGAGTGCATGTGAATGTGCACGTGTGCCTCAGTGCGTGAGTCTCCATCAAATGGCCACCATGGGTTTGTGTGTCCTTTGGTGTTTCTGTCAATAGCCATATGTGCTTCATACATGCGTCTCTATGAACACGTGTACATGTCAGCATTGCTGTGCTTGTGTTTCTTTGCAGCTCGTGAACACTGCATGCAAGAGTGTAAGGATTTTCAGACCTGCATTTTCCCGTCAGCACTTTATTAACATCATTGAAGGAAGCGGGTCACAGTTCATTCATAAAGCCAATACTTCTCCCTACATGCTTAACGTTACAGAGAAATTGCAAATGAATGCCATATGGTCAAAGCAACATTTTATATTTTCCTACGGGTATGAGTAGTACGGAAGAGGATTATCGCCACATGAATTATTTTGTTTGTGAGGATTTGAAAAAAAAATGTTGTTGTTTTGTTGAATTCTGACTAATTTCTCAGAATTCTGACTTTTTCCTCAGAACAAAAACAAATATTTTTTTGGGAGAAAAAAGTCAGAATTCGGAGATTAAAGGAGAGGTGTCATGGCCATTTCCACTGATCATAATTCCATTGTTGAGGTATACTAAAATAGAAAAATACTGTGCAATTTTCCAAACTCACATTGGTTTCGCAGCATCTCTGTAAAGTATGTGTATTCAGCAGTATTCACTTTCTCCACTAAACGGCTCGCTGCAGCTCCTCCCCCTCCCCCCCTCCGTGATTTCCTTGTTTAGCGATACACAGCCAAACACAGCCAAACTCAACCTGAACACACACAAAGTCACAGCCGAAATAAAAACAATAAGTGTGGCTTGATATTGAGTAAGAAAAAGGTTTATAGGTTGATAAACGCTGTGAGAATGGGTCTGCAGAGAGAATTTTGCGCGATCCCAACTGTCTGTTATCAGCCTGAAGCCAGGGAGGAGAATCAGCAGAGCTGCATGCACTGAGTGTGTGTGTGGATTGGTCAATTTAGACCAATCAGCGGGGGCTTAACGTAACGGCTCCGCGGACGTAACGTAATGGCTCCACGGATTGGCCCATTTAGTTCCGGGTACGCGCTTTCGTAAGCACGTACCCGGAAGAATCAAATGGATGATGACGTCATGATGACGTTTCACCAACGAGGCGTTTTGGGGAGGAATTTTCAGTTTTAGAGTTTTACTCGCTACAGGGTGTACTTTGAGGGTTTTGACTCTGCACACCGTTTACATGCAGAAAAACCTTCATAACACACAAGGGGATGGGTAATAACCGGAAAAGCATGACATGTCACCTTTCAAGTCAGAATTCTGACTTTTTCCTTTTGTTCTGAGATTAAAGTCAGAATTCTGAGGGAAAAAAAACTCGAAAAAAAAAAATGGTGTGGCCCTAATCCTCTTCCGTAGAGTAGAAAGTTTAAGAGTCTCTACTTGTTTTGCTACCTGACATTTGCTTAAGAGCACTCTTCAGAAAATATCATGACAAGCTTTGGGCAATTTTCAAGGCTGCACAATACATTTCTTACATATTTATTTTTCATCAAAGACCTTTTTCCCATTATTCCAGCAGTGTGATGGCGGAAAAAACCTGAGTGAAAGAAAGTTATATAAAATGGGTTGTATGAAAGCAGCAGAGTATAACAAAGGTGAAGTTAGAAGCCTGACTTTGCTACAAAAACATTGGCATTTACCACGGAGCGCTTGAGGGGACACAGGACGTAATGGGTTTGACAAAAAGCCCCGACTACTCAGGTGGATGTGAAACTGATTCGTGACCATCTGTAGCCAAATCTGCTCTCAACTGCTCCTTCTTCTCTCCTTTTCCCCCTTCCACACATCCAATCTGTCGCTTCTCTTTCATTCTCTTTCCCCCCCCCTGATTCGCCCCATCTCCGCTCCATCGTCCACCCTTTTCAAATTCACGCAGCTTCATCAACTAAGACGACATATGTCAGCTACAGCAATCATGCCATTTGAAGGGACCACAGAGGATATGACGGAAAGGGATTGGACAAGGAGAAGGGGGGCGTGTCCCGAGGCAGCGCCAAGAAGGAGCCGTGGTTCTTGGCCGGAGAACTGACGGACAGATTGAGCGCCCAATGGAATCCAAGCATGAGACATTTTGTATTGTTCCGCATCACACCACAGAGAGGTGGGACCACAAAAAACAGCCAGTCAGTGTGCCTGCTTCCTCGCTGCTCACAGCTCATTGGTCCTACCATGAACGTACCTGTTCTGAAAAAAAAAGAAAAAAGATATGCCATACCATAGGACACTGTGGTGGACAGAGTAACTATTAAAACGTACACCAAAAAAAAATCATAAAAAAGAAAAAAACTCCGACCATGTAGACATTATATCTAAAAGGGCAGGCTGGGAGAGAGATTTAACAGATTCCATTTTAAAAGATATTTAAAAAGAGAAATGTAAGAGAAAAATCTATGAGACTCAAACATGTTTGTTGTTATTCTCTACTTGTAAGTATTTTTGTGGTTGTGACGATTTTTTCATTCTTGTCTCACCGTTGTCCGATGGATCGCCCTTGCATAATGAGATGAGTGTGTTTCCTCCTGCTGTCTTGGCTAACCGGGTTGTAGCCTTGGGTTGTGAACCTGTAAAATGCCATGGTTGAAGCATGCCAGTTTTTTTATACAAAAAGGAGATTTATTTATAATAAAGGAATGTTTTTGCAAATGTGTAGAATGGTGGTCGTTTGTACATTTGTAGCTTTGAGGATGATTCTTTTGCAGGTTGGTTTTTAAGGTCTTGAATGATGAATGAGAAATGAATGGATGTCACCATGACTCCATATACAAATTAGTAGCACACAAGGTTAGTTATATGTAGGATAAGAAACTGTTTAGCAAGCATGCTAACAGCAGATTACTGGGCTTTTCATTGTTTCCCCTCATGTTTAGTGAAATATTCCTCTACTTTGATCCAGACTGAGATATCTTTACAACTGTTGGACAGATTCCTTGTTGTAAATGTGTACAGACATCGATGATCTCCTGAGGATGAACCCTAAGGGCTTTGGTTATTAACTGACTTTTCTTTCAGTGTCACCATATTGTTAACGTTTTATGTAACTGGGACTGTTAGGGTTAACACATTAATGTTTGTGAATCATCTGTTAACCTTAAAGGTGGGGTAGGTAATTTTGGAGAAACCAGCTGACAGTTCCTTACAGAGCCCCTCCTCCAACACACACAAACGTGCACATGACCAATGAGGGCACGAGATAAGTTTGTGCACAGATGGAAGGCTGACAGGCAGGTAGGCCATCCAGTTANATGCTTCATTTTAGTTTAATACTCACAGTTCAAGGTGAGGTAGGTAATTTTGGAGAAACCAGCTGCCACTTCCTTACAGAGCCCCTCCTCCAACACACACAAACGCGCACATGACCAATGAGGGCACGAGATAAGTTTGTGCACAGATG